ATAAAAAATGGGCTGTCAGTGAGCTGCTGCTGTGTGCCATTCCCAGGACAGCTAAAATCTGCAGCCCTAAGGATGATGGCACTACTACCATTTAAACAGCAGTGTTTTACTACAGACTGGAGGAAAGATTTAGTATTGATAACATCTGTCTTGAATCTCATGAGGATGAAGAGGAGGAACAGTACAGAGGAAGCAATATTGCTTTTGGGTTTACTCAGCCTTCAAGCGCTTACCAAAACTGTGGCAACTGAACGGCTATTGGATGATCTGCATGAAGTCAGTTTGGTGTTTGAATTCAGTTTCCAGTGGGAAGTTTGTATTTCACAAAACATGCAGCTAATTAGCACCTGCTGGGCTGCCTGTTTGGCAGCTGGGAAGAGGCCGAAGATTAAATGCTTTTCAAAGACAAATTCACCTTTTACCCATACTGGTTAGGGGAGGAGAGTTACAGCAAAGAATTGCATGGTTTTGCCTGAGCTGGTTCTGTTCCTGCCTGCTCAGTGTGTCTGACGGATTCCATAGAGAGTGCAAGGTCACCATGGTACAGTGCTGCCAGCTCTCCTTGTCCATGGTATACATGGTGTAGAGCTGCTGGATGTGGGAGCTGCCTCCATCCCAGCAATGAATTGCAGGTAATAAGTTCTGCTTGGTCTGAGTTGACCTTCCATGGAGCCCTGCAGATCTCTGCACTATGCTTGCCACGGTTCATGTTTCTGAGACATGTCTGCTGGGGTGGTTTGCTGAGGTTCTGCATTGAACAAAAGTAGCTGAAACTTTTCCAGACTGGAAATGGCCCTCAAAGAATTAGTGACCTGTTTGAATGGGGATGTGTCTGAGCTAATGAATTCTGTTAAACCTGAGCTGGCTGTGTGCCTGGGCCCTGGAAGCAAGAGGTGAGTGCACACATACCTGTTGCTTGTAACAGGAAGGATATTTTCCTTTTGTAGTACTCAGAACATGTATACTCAGGCCCCTCCTGGCCCTTCCTTGGTGCACAGGCATACAAGGCAGAGCACACCCATCACTAGGTCTGTTCTCACTTGGTGAGCAAGAGAGAAGTTGTATGTGGGCAAGCATAGTGTCTGCATCCATGCCATGGTTTCTTCAGAACCTGGGTAAACCATCTGGGGGGAAAAAAAAATCAAAACAAATTGTTTGCATGGCTGTTGCTCTAATAAAACAATCTCTCTTTCAAGCAGGGGTTCATGTTAAATCAAGGGCTGTATGCAGCTGGTGTCTTTAACAAAAAAAAAAAAAACCCACAGAAAATAAAATCAATGGATAAATGGAGAGAAGCTGACAGTGATCAGGAAAAAATGTGCTCCCCTGAAACACTCATCCTGGGTTGCTGCGTTCTTTGTGGTGTTCAATGCAAGTACGTCCCAATCACGAGCTCTCTCCCTTAAGAATATGCCTACCCCAGAGAAACTCACTGCCCTGGGTGCCGGCTGTTCCCACTGCTGTCCCACCCCAGTGGAGGGGTTCTGTGGCAGAGGTGCAATTTGCTACTCAGTCAGGTAATGGTTTAGTATAAGTTGATTAGAAGTTTAGCATCAATATGTACGACATCAAAACTGGTAGCCTTTCTGCCACTGTTCTGTAGAGCAGGTTTTTTTTGATCTGCCCAGAAGCTACTGCATATGAAGATAGAGCATGTCAGTTATTACCTAGATCATGGGGATACATCTATTGCCTAGATCATGTTGTGCATACACTGATGCACTCTCAGTGACTCGGGTCTTGAAGACTTGGCCTTTCTTTTATCCTTGCAAAACTTGCTTTCAGTCCTTGACAGATCAGTCCTCAGCCAGTGGCTGTGCACAAATCCTGTTACTTGAAACAGGAAGAAATTTTTCTTTGTAGCATTTGTAATATGTACTCGCACCCAGTATTATCACCCAGTACATAGATACATAAGGCAGACTATGGTCATCACCCTTTCAATTTCTCACCCTGAAGAAAGCATGCTCCATCAATTAACTTTACATAATTCACATGCTTCCCTGGTGCCTGATTTTCTTCAGTCATAATCTAGAGATGAACACTGCTTTGTGTCCTGCAGGTAGCTGTCTATGATAGTAGTCTTTGCAATGGTGATGACCCTCCATCTTGACCCAGCTGTGATAAAAGATCCTGCCAGTGGTTCCCTATTGTAGGTATCTTTGTTGTCTTGTGGTAGGTTCAGCCTACCTGATCAGCCACAGCAGCCTCTGCTGATTCTTCAGACTTTGCCCCAAGAAGATACAGAAGCTCCTTCTGAAGGAGGTCTTGTCCTTCCATCCCGGTGCCAGTGAGCAAGGTGCCAAATGCAAGTGCCCACCTCAGCAGCAGTGTAGTGTCCATCTTCTAGTAGAGTTCTAGCTCAATCAAAAAGATTTAGTGCCTATCCCCTGCCCAGGCCATTAACTTTTCCTGTTAGTGCTTGTGGCTCCTGACTTCTGATGAGGGTGCTGGACTAGACAGACTGACA